GAGGCTGAGGCAGGAGAATGGCGTGAACCCAGGAGGCGGAGCTTGCAGTGAGCCAGGATCGTGCCACTGCACTCCAGCTTGGGCGACAGAGCGAGACTCTGTCTCAAAAAAAAAAAAAAAGAAAATATTTTGGTAGAAAGGCACTGAAGATCAGCCACTCTTGTCGGATGGAGGACTTTATGTGTGTGTCTTTAAGCAAACATGTAAGGAAACTGCCTCTTTCCTTAGTCAACAAGACCAGATTCTTGAGCTGGCAATGGAAAGAGCATCTCCAAGTAGGGAGAGGTGGTTGCATCTGGAAGCCCCAACTCTCATCCTGACCCCCTGGGCAATCTCTTATTCATGAAGTCTGCCACACAGATCTGATGGGGTGTGTATATGTGCCATCTTCCTGTTAATGATCTAGACAGGCGTGATGGGCCCTTCCTGAGTGGCTATTAAATGGGGATGTTTTGAGAGTAAGTCGGGTGTGTGTGTGGAGGGGGGTGAGGGTGTTTCAATGATTGGGAGGTGCCTCTGGGGCCAGAGATGCTAAGCATCCAACAATGCAAGGCAGAGTCCAGTACAAAGTGCCTGTAGCCCTCCCGGTGAGAAACACTGCATGAGGCTCAGCACGACCATGAGATCAGGCTGAAACACTTAAATATGATTTCATAAAGGCTTAAAGCCAGAACGTGAAAATAAATAAAAGGCCAGGCACGGTGGCTCATGCCTGTAATCCCAGCACTTTAGGGGGGCCAAGGCAAGAGGACTGCTTGAGGCCAGGCATTCAAGACCAGCCTGGGCAACATAGTGAGACCCAGTCTCTACAAAAAATTTAAAAATTAGCCAGGTGTGGTGGCACGTGCCTGGAGCTACTTGGGAAGTTAAGGTGAGAGGATCGCTTGAGCCCAGGAGTTCAAGGCTGCAGTGAGCTATGATCATGCCACTGCACCCCCAACCAGGGTGACATAGTGAGACCCTATCTCAATAAAAATAAAAAAATAAATAGAGTATCATATAATGAGGCACATTAGGAGATGAAGTTTATTCTCCAGGTTGGGAGGCTCCAACCCATCTGTAGCCCTAGGTTCCCTTTGTGGGGAGCGCCAACAGAGCACCCACCACCTTAAACTCCAGCTTAGATCCCAGTTCCTTGTCCCCTGACCTAGGTCCTACAGGGTAGAGTGCAGTGGCTCGATCTCGGCTCACTGTAACCTCAGACTCCTGGGGTCAAGCGATCCCTCCTCCTCAGCCAAGTAGCAGAGACTACAGGTGTGTGCCACCACTCCCACCTAATTTTTTTATTTTTAGTTTTTGTAGAGATGGGGTCTCACTATGTTGCCCAGGCTGGGTCCTACCTTCTACCTTCTGTTTAGGTGTGATCACAGAAAACGTGTCTCCCTGTGAGGAAAATTTGCCCTCTCCTCCCCAGCTACAAGACAGGGTTGTGGCCTAGCTTTGCTGCACCAAAAGAACACATGAACACATGACAGAGTAGAATATGGCACTTAGGGATTCCTTGAAGAGCAGAAGCAGGACCAGAGTGGGGTTGCACAGCACCTCTGCAGTAAATCTGGCAAGGCTTGGCAGGCCAGTCCTCAGTGTTTCTAGGGAAACGGGAACCCAGTAGCAGAGTCCCCCAGAGGCCCCATTCCTAGCAACTGGCAACCAAAGCCCGTTATTCCTGCGTGAACCCCTCCTGACCACACTGGCAGGGGCAACATGGTGGCCAACCTGGGGGAGCTGGCCAAGCTTCGAGACCTGCCCAAGCTGCGAGCCTTGGTGCTGCTCGATAACCCATGCACGGAGGAAACCAACTACCGCCAGGAGGCCCTGGTGCAGATGCCATACCTCGAACGCCTGGACAAGGAATTCTATGAGGAGGAGGAACGGGCTGAGGCTGATGAGATTCGACAGAGTCTGAAGGAAGACAAGGAGAAGGAGCAGGAGCCTGAGCCCAAGCGTGACCTGGAACTGGAACAGTCATTGATCTAGCGGCAGTTCTAGCCTCTAAAGATAGTAAGGAAGCCTGCAGGGAGGCAGTGGGAGGAGGCCAAGGGCTGGGCAGGTAGGGAAAGAGGCAAGAGGGGAAGCTGCTGCAGAAGGAGGTGGGGGAGGAAAGCATCAGACAAGCAGAACCCTTAAAGAGAGCAGGGTTAGGAGTCAGGGAGAGGAAAAGGGACCCGTGGGGCCTGGGACCAGCTGAGAAAGGCTTAGGAGGCCAGGAGAGTAAGTGAAAAGAATTGGGGTGGCCGGCAGAGGAGTTGATGGGGGTGGGGCAGCCATACCTGACACAGAGTGAAGTCTGCTAGGAAAGGACAGGTGTGGGTGCATGGTAGGGGCTGCAGGGGAAGGCTGGTGGTGTATGCAGCTGGACCTAGGAGAGAAGCAGGAGAGGAAGATCCTGCACAAAAAATTTGAGCTAAAAATAACAGGACATAGAGGTGGGGGAAGAAAAGAGGGCAGAGTGAGGCAGAAGGAGACTGAAGAGATGAGGATGGCCGCCAGGCACTTTAGATAGGGCAGAGGCTTTATTTATTTACTTCGGTTTTTGTTTTTGTTTTTGTTTTTGTTTTTTTGAGAGGGAGTCTCCCTCAGTCTCCAGGCTGGAGTGCAATGGCGTGATGATCTGGGCTCACTGCAAACTCCGTCTCCCGGGTTCAAGCAATTCTCCTGCCTCAGCTTCCCGAGTAGCTGGGACTACAGGCGCATGCCACCAGGCCTGGCTAATTTTTGTATTTTTAGTAGAAACGGGGTTTCACCACGTTAGCCAGGATGGTCTCGATCTCCTGACCTCGTGATGTGCCCGCCTCAGCCTCCCAAAGTGCTGGGATTACAGGCGTGAGGCACAGCGCCCGTTCCCTATTTACTTCTGTTTTCTACCTCCAGGAGATCAAAAACGCTGGCCTTCAGACCTGATCGGACTCCCAGGGGGACCACCACATTCATACCCCCTAGGGCGAGGACAGAGGATACCTCTTTTTGCCCCAAAGCTGGAAATTCATCACAACCTGAGGCCCAGGATCCGCTCTGTGCGGGTCCTCTGGGCAGTGTGGGGTGCAGAGTGGGGTGCCTAGGCCTGAGCGCTGCCTGGAGCCTAGGCCGGGGGCCGCCCTCGGGCAGGTGTGGGTGGGAGCCAAGCCCGCGTGGGCCGCGGGGTGCTGGTAGGAGTGGTTGGAGAGACTTGCGGAGGCGGCTGGGGTGTTCGGATTTCCAATAAAGAGACAGTGTGATGCTCCTGTGTCTGACCGGGTTTGTGAGACATTAAGGCTGTCTTGAGCTTCACTGGCAGTGTGGGCCTTCGTACCCGGGCTACAGGGGTGCGGCTCTGTTACTTTCGAGTGGGTTGGGCCGTGGGTATGAGCACTTGTGTGCACGGGGGGGCCAGGTCGTGGGTGCCCCCACCCTTCCCCCATCCTCCCCCCTCCCCCACTCCACCCGCGTCGGTCCCCCACCCGCGCTAGTACGTGCGCCTCCGCCGGCAGCTCCTGACTCATCGGGGGCTCCGGGTCACATGCGCCCGCTCGGCCCTATAGGCGCCTCCTCCGCCCGCCGCCCGGGAGCCGCAGCCGCCGCCGCCGCCGCTGCCACTCCCGCTCTCTCCGCGCCGCCGTCGCCACCGCCACCGCCACTACCACTGGCTGAGTCTGCAGTCCAGAGGTGAAGCCCCCGCCGGGCCCCGAGACCCTGCGGCCCCCTCCCCTTGCCGCGGCGCCCCTGCCCCCTTTACCCGGTGCCGCTGCGCACCTCTCCGCATCTCTGGCCCGGTGCAGCTACGCACCTGCTCGGCCGCCCGCGCCCAGGGCGCCCTCCCTCCCTGGCCTTCCCCGCCCGCTGCCCTAGCTTTCTGGCCCTCTCCGCGCCTGTCTCTAACTGCGCCTCTCCACCCTTGCCTGCCTTTCTCCCGGTGCTCACCCTCACCTACGGTTCTGTCCATTTGTTTCTAAGTTGGGAGCCTCTCCGGGCGGTGCATTTTTATCCTGGCGTGTCCCTTTTGGTTTGCATTTCGGGAAATGTCTTCTCTCACCCTTTCTCACCGCCCCCCCGCCAGACTTCCCTTGGACTCCCCTCTCTTCTGCTCTTCCCCACGACGCCCCTCTCCGTTCGCGCTTCCTCCCCTCAGCTGCACGGGGGAGGGATGGAAGAAGTGGGGATTTGTCGGGGCGCAGGGAGGAGGACAGGCCCAGCTGGTCTCCACTCCCCACCGGCTCCTATCCTCTTCACTTCCCGCTGCAACCCCCAGGGACTGCAGGGCCTTTCTCAGGACCCTCTCCCCCGACACCTCTACTGCGTGCGCCTTTCGCGGGAAGAGGAAGGAGACACGTTTGGGAGAGAGTGGGACCTTGGGGAAGGGGCAGAGTTCAGGCAGCTGAGGTGTTAAGTTGGGGAGGGATGGGGGCTCTGGAAGAGAGGCCCAGGCAACCCATCCTCTTCGTGGCTCCCAGGAGAAATGCAAGCCTGGCAGCCATTCCGCTCTGAGGAGATCTGGGGGAACCCCACTGGCTGGCCAAGCTGCAAAGAGGCGCGGGAACCACCGTCGTGCCCCTCCCCTCCTCACTGCAGTGTTCTCCCATCTCATCATCTGATCGTACCCCGCCCCCCACTGCAGTGACCTCCCCTTCCTCACTGCATTGACCTTCTCCTCTTCCCAGGGGGGAGGGGGAATCCCTTCTACAGCCCTAGACTGCAGCCAGCACCTCCCTACCCACCCCCAACCCCACTGCAGTAACCTCTTTCCCATCCCTCCCAGCCTCCTGCCCCGCCCATTGATCTCAGGCTCCACCCCTCTAAGCCTCTTATCTTTCTCCTTCCTTCCCTTCCACCCGAGGAGATCCCAGCCATCATGTCCATAGAGAAGATCTGGGCCCGGGAGATCCTGGACTCCCGCGGGAACCCCACAGTGGAGGTGGATCTCTGTACTGCCAAAGGTAATGGGTGTGGCATGGGCCTTCCTACAGCCCTAGCTTTTCCACCGCCAGGCTGGGTTTGGCCAGGGGTTCGGAGGCCTTTTTTGATATCCAGGGGGATGGGGTGCTGGGCCAGGCTCACAAGCCTGGGTTGTAAAGGTTGGATCCTCCTTGTCCAGGGAGCCAGGGTAGGTGAGTCTGTGTTCGAGTTGAGCGTGTGAGGCATGCCCTGCCTCTGTGTGTCTTCCTGTGCACCTGCATGTGTGCAGACGTGTGCTGCGAGCAATTTCCTTTTTGCGGGCTCCCACTTGTGCGTGTGGGGCCTCAGATGGGCGGATGAGGAGGCCACTTCTTGTGCATCTGCCTCTGTGTGTGGCGGGGGGTGGGGGAGACGTTAGGGAGCAGTGTGGGGAGAGAGCTAGATGTGGTAGGCAGGAAGTTTAGAGCCAGAAGGCTGAAGGACTCCCTGGCCCTGTGTTCGCTTCACTCCCTCTCATTCCATGTTCCTCCTTTAGGTCTTTTCAGGGCTGCAGTGCCCAGTGGAGCCTCTACCGGCATCTATGAGGCCCTGGAGCTGAGAGATGGAGACAAACAGCGTTACTTAGGCAAAGGTGAGGTTCTTTCTCTTTTCCAGACTTTCCCCAACCTCAGCCTTATGCCCCTACCTCACACCAGTCCCCAGTCCTCCTCTAGCATGCCTTCCCCTCCTCCCATTGTCCCTTCCGGCCCCTCCTGGCCTGACCCAGTCCAGCCTCTTCCTTTCCCCAGGTGTCCTGAAGGCAGTGGACCACATCAACTCCACCATCGCGCCAGCCCTCATCAGCTCAGTGAGGCCCGCTCTTTGCTGGGGATAGCAGGGCCAGAGTTCTGGAAGGAATCCTGGAGCAGGGCAGGAGGAAGGGGAGAAAGAATGCCCACTTTTAGGAATCATGGTCACGAGGGGGAAGGGTGGGGAACAGATTCCTTACTGCCCCTGGTCCCATGGGGGTTCAGGTCCCCTAATCCAGGCAGACCCCTGTCACAGGGACCTGGTTGGGCCCTGACCAAATGTGAGCTTGGGTGTGAATGAGGGGACCCTCCGCCTGAGGGCTCAGCCTCCAGCCTGGCCCCGGGTGATGGAGGCTCTGCCCTCAGGGTCTGTCTGTGGTGGAACAAGAGAAACTGGACAACCTGATGCTGGAGTTGGATGGGACTGAGAACAAATGTGAGCCGGGGCTGGGAGAAAGTGGGGAAGCATCAGGGTGGGGAGGCGTGGAGCAAATAGACAGCTGAAGGGCCAGTGCTGTAATGGCTTCCTCAGGAATGACTGTCAGGGGCCTCCTCCTCCCAAAGCCGGAGCAAGGGGAGATGAGTTTAGCTGCAGGGGGAGGGACTGACATTAGGCAGAAGGAAGACCTTCTTTGTAGCATATATAGGAGGGGGTTGGCCTGAGAGAGTCTGTGGTCTCAGGGATATTTGGACAGAGGTGCGGCTCTCTGCTGCTTCCAGTCTCCTCCTCCCCACCCATTCCTCTCCCTGCTGTTTTCAGGAGAGCATGGATGAGGTGTTGCTGGGGCAGGGGTAGGGAGGGAGGAGGGGGTCTCCTTTACTGGCTCCTTTTGGAGACTACAGATGGAGGCAGGAGCTAGAAGGAGAAGGGGACATTGTGCTCAGCACCTTCCTCTATAATCTTCCAGCCAAGTTTGGGGCCAATGCCATCCTGGGTGTGTCTTTGGCCGTGTGTAAGGCAGGGGCAGCTGAGCGGGAACTGCCCCTGTATCGCCACATTGCTCAGCTGGCCGGGAACTCAGACCTCATCCTGCCTGTGCCGGTGAGCGCTGAGCTGTGCCTGTGACTCTCCCAGGGGTGGGTGGGGGAGGGGGCATGCAATTCATGAGGAATGATGGGAGGAAAATGAATTGGGGGAGGTAAAGAGGAAGGATGGGGACGTGAGATTTAGTCCGGGAAGCTGGGGGAAGTTTGGGATCTTGAGTTAAGACTCCTGGGGCAGGCAGGGAGGGGCTCTTTGACCCTTCTGTCTTTCTGCGGCTTCCCAGGCCTTCAACGTGATCAATGGTGGCTCTCATGCTGGAAACAAGCTGGCCATGCAGGAGTTCATGATCCTCCCAGTGGGAGCTGAGAGCTTTCGGGATGCCATGCGACTGGGTGCAGAGGTCTACCATACACTCAAGGGAGTCATCAAGGACAAATATGGCAAGGATGCCACTAATGTGGGGGATGAAGGTGGCTTTGCCCCCAATATCCTCGAGAACAGTGAAGGTGAGGCCAAGAGCCCCACTGCCAGCTCTAAGTCTTACCCTACTGCAGGACATCAGAAAGGGCCACACACTTCACCAAGTCCTGAGTAGGTGTGGAGGGTCCTCGGACTCTGCAAACTCCAAAAGTTACCAGTTCTTAGAGTGGATTGCAGGGGGCTTCCCAAATTCACATGCAGACCTAGGGGGCCAGTCTTTCATCTGCCTAGCCGGATGTGTTAGCATCTGTTAAGTTGTCACTGGAGGGCCAGGCGCGGTGGCTCATGCCTGTAATCCCAGCACTTTGGGAGGCTGAGGCGTGTGGATCACTTGAGGAGTGAGACCAGGAGTTTGAGACCAGCCTGGCCAACATGGTGAAACCCCGTCTCTACTAAAAATACAAAAATTAGCTGGGCATGGTGGTGCGTGCCTGTAATCACAGCTACTAGTGGGGCTGAAGCAGGAGGATGGCTTGTACCTGGGAGGCGGAGGTTGTGGTGAGCCGAGATTGTGCCACTACACTCCAGCCTGGGTAACAGAGCGAGACTCCGTCTAAAAAAAAAAAAAAAAAAGTTGTCACTGGAGCCCTTGGGAATACTGGGAGATGGTCTGGGTGACCTGTTGGATTCATCCCATCCGTTCGAAATCTGTCCTGTCCCCATTCCAACCTCCTAGGCCTCTAGAACCCCTAATTTTTCTGTGCCTTGGGAGAAACTGTATAGGGAATGGAAACAATGTAGGTAGTGGTTAAAAGTTAAGATTCTGGGGCCAAATTACCTGGATGTATTTGAACCCTGACTTGTGAAGTTACTGCGGGTGATCTTTCTTACTTCTCTCTGGAAATAATAACAGAATCTAGCTCATAGTAGTGTGAGGTTGAAACGAAATAGACATGAAATGCTTAGGCGACATGCTGCCAATGAAAAGATAATAAGTATTATTAGCAGAATTCCACTGCTCTGTGTTCCTAGATGTCCTCTCCTCCCAGTCCTGGGGATAACCCCAGTAGCAACCCCACCACACTTCCCTCAGGAACGGTCCTCCACCTCTGCCCCGAATGTCTTTTCTTTCCCTCCTCCTCGCCCATCCCTCTTGCTTGTACTATAATCTCACTGTATTCTGTCCCCAGCCTTGGAGCTGGTGAAGGAAGCCATCGACAAGGCTGGCTATACGGAAAAGATCGTCATTGGCATGGATGTTGCTGCCTCAGAGTTCCATCGTGATGGCAAATACGACTTGGACTTCAAGTCTCCCGCTGATCCTTCCCGATACATCACTGGGGACCAGCTGGGGACACTCTACCAGGACTTTGTCAGGGACTATCCTGGTGAGAGGAAGCAGTGTGAGGGGGAGGTCTGGGGGCAGGCAGTGTCCCAGCAACTCTGGACCTTATGGGGTGCTGACTCAGGCACCAGGTGGAGGTGTCCTAAGAAGAACCTGAGAACCAGGGAGAGGGTGCAGGAGCCACCTGCAAAGACTGGGCTTTGTATGTAGTGTAAAAGTGCAGGTACCCGAGACTAATCTGTTCTATCTGCCTCAGATCCTGATTAAAGTCATGGGTTCTGAAAATTACTGGGGTCAGGGGGAAGGCTCTGGAAGAAACCAGGGATGGTGAGAGGGTGACTGGATCTAGCAGAGAACTAGAATATTTCGGTATCTTTGATTGATGAAATTGTGGATGCTGAATGGAGCTGGGACTGATGTGTGAGTAGAAAGAAGGCTGAGGGGGACTGAATTAGCTTCTGCAAGTCTGCCCAGGGCCTTTACCCCAGGAAGGAGGCAGTTGGTCTCCATCTTCCTGAAACAGAGCGAAAGAAAATAAACATAATTGCAGAATTAAGGATTTGGATTAGCAATGAGGAAGGGCTTCCTGGGGGTGAGAACAGGAAAATGCAAAGTTAGGTTGTGAACCCTTGTTACTGGAAGATTTTTTTGTTTTTTGGATTTCTGTTGTTGTTGTTTGTTTGTTCTTTGTTTTTTGTTTTTTTGAGACGGGGTTTCACTCTTCTTGCCCAGACTGGAGTGCAATGGCGCCATCTCGGCTCACCACAACCTCCACCTCCTGGATTCAAGCGATTCTTCTGCCTCAGCCTCCCGAATAGCTGGGATTACAGGCATGTGCCACCATGCCTGGCTAATTTTGTATTTTTAGTAGAGACAGAGGTCTCTCCATGTTGGTCAGGCTGGTCTCCAACTCCCAACTCAGGTGATCCGCCTGCCTTGGCCTCCCAAAGTGCTGGGATTATAGGCGTGAGCCACCACACCCGGCAGGTTTCCTTTTAATTAATTTTTTTTTTTTTTTTTTTTTTTTGTAGAGACAGGGTTTAGCCATGGTGCTCATGGCTGGTCTCGACCTCCTGGGCTCAAGTGATCCACATGCCTCGGCCTCCCAAAGTGCTGGGATAACAGGCATGAGCCACTGTGCCCAGCCCATGGAAGTGGAGCGAGATCTCCGCTCACTGCATGATTCTCTTAGCCTCCCAAGTAGCTGGGATTACAGGTGCGCACCACCATGCCTGGCTAATTTTTGTATGATTAGTAAAGATGTGGTTTCGCCATGTTTGCCAGGTGGTTCAAACTCCCAACCTCAGGTGATCCACTTGCTTTGGCCTTCCAAAGTGCTGGGATTACAGGCGTGAGTCAGTGCACCTGGCCTGTTTTTTTGTTTGTTTGTTTGTTTTGTTTTGTTTTGTTTTTGAGATGGAGTCTCGCTCTGTCGCCCACGCTGGAGTGCAGTGGCGTGATCTCCACTCATTGCAAGTTCCGCCTCCCGGGTTCATGCCATTCTCCTGCCTCAGTCTCCTGTGTAGCTGGGACTATAGAGGCCCGCCACCGCGACCGGCTAATTTTTTTTTGTATTTTTAGTAGAGATGGAGTTTCACCGTGTTAGCCAGGATGGTCTCGATCTCCTGACCTCGTGATCCGCCCGTCTCGGCCTCCCAAAGTGCTGGGATTACAGGCTTGAGCCACTGTGCCCGGCTGTCTTTTTTTTTGAGACAGAGTCTTGCTCTGTCGCCCAGGCTGGCATGCAGGGGTGCGAACTCTGACTCCCAGGTTCAAGTGATTCTCATGCCTCAGCCTCCCCAGTAGCTGGGATTACAGGCATGTGCCACTATGCTCGGCTAATTTTTGTATTTTTAGTAGAGACGGAGTTTCACTCTGTTGGTCAGGGAACTCCTGTCCTCAAATGATACGTTCACCTCAGTATCCCAAAGTGCTGGGATTACAGGCATAAGCCACTGTGCCTGGCCTCTCCCTGTAAGGTTTTATGAAATAAGAATCAGGAGCCAGGCATGGTGGCTCATGCCTGTAATCTCATCACTTTGGGAAGCTGAGGCAGAAGGATCGCTTGAATCCAGGAGTTCGAGACCGGCTTGGCAATACAGTGAGACCTCATCTCTACAAAAATTTTAAAAATTAGCTGAGTGTGGTGCCACATGCCTATAGTCCCTGCTACTCAGGAGGCTGAGGTGGCAGGATCACTTGATTTGGGGAGGTGGAGGTTGCAGTGAGCTGATATTGTGTCACTGCACTCCAGCCTGGATGACAGAGTGAGACTCTGTCTCAAAAAAAAAAAAGGTTAAGAACCAGGGCAGGCTTACACTGGGGGGATTTGTCTTAGCAAGGATGAACAGGTATAGTTAACCAAGGGCCTGTCCATTTCAGGGAATAAAGGGGCATGTTCCTGCCTGATGTAGAGGCCCAGGGAAGATGAACAGCCCCCACCCCCCATGCTCTCTCTGCAGTGGTCTCCATTGAGGACCCATTTGACCAGGATGACTGGGCTGCCTGGTCCAAGTTCACAGCCAATGTAGGGATCCAGATTGTGGGTGATGACCTGACAGTGACCAACCCAAAGCGTATTGAGCGGGCAGTGGAAGAAAAGGCCTGCAACTGTCTGCTGCTCAAGGTCAACCAGATCGGCTCGGTCACTGAAGCCATCCAAGCGTGAGTGACTTCGGGCCCTCTCCTGTGTGGTCCTCGTTTCCATAAGACTCCTCTTGCAAGTGCTCCAGCCTAATTCTACCCAGGGATGCCAAAGAGAGCAGGGAACCTGGAATCATCATCATCACAGTTCTCTCACCTCTGCCCCTCCACCCCTGATTCTCTGCTCCCCTCCCAGATAGCTTTCCCCTAGATGTTTCCTGACATAGACCAAGGTTGGGGCTGGGAAGAGAGTGCCCAGTGTGAGGGCTGGAGAAGCAGTGCTGTGTGTGGATACAGGTGCAAGCTGGCCCAGGAGAATGGCTGGGGGGTCATGGTGAGTCATCGCTCAGGAGAGACGGAGGACACATTCATTGCTGACCTGGTGGTGGGGCTGTGCACAGGCCAGGTGAGTGAGGCAGCCTGGTGAGTGAAGATAACTCTCTGTGGGACTGGTATTTCTAGCTCACCCACCTGGTCTCTCCTTCCAGGTGTTTGAGGGTGTCAGGGGAGTTTCAGGAGAGCAGAAGTTTCTTTTCAGGGGTGAGAGGGCAGCCACTGAGCTGCAAATCCTTTGAAATGTTTCAGATCAAGACTGGTGCCCCATGCCGTTCTGAACGTCTGGCTAAGTACAACCAGCTCATGAGGTGAGGGTCCCTGGGGTGGGAGCCCCTGGCCCAGAGGGCTAAAGGCCCCATTTGCCTGCCGGACCATCTCTAGCACTCAGGGCCTGGATGACAGTCCATTTCCACATAATATTGGTTTTTGCTTCCTGGGTTTATTGATGGCCTGATTGACAGATCCCAGAGATCACATGGGAAAGCCAGGGAATGCTCAGCCTTGGGGCAGGACACAAAAGCAGGTGGTGTGGGGGTGGTTGGAGTCTGGGGGACCCCCTAGAGAGAGAAGCAGGATCCTTCTGCATCCCTGACCACCTCCTTTGTGGTTCATGTCTCTCAGAATTGAGGAAGAGCTGGGGGATGAAGCTCGATTTGCCGGACATAACTTCCGTAATCCCAGTGTGCTGTGATTCCTTTGCTTGCCTGGAGACGTGGAACCTCTGTCTCATCCTCCTGGAACCTTGCTGTCCTGATCTGTGATAGTTCACCCTGTGAGATCCCCTGAGTCCCAGGGTTTCCAGAACTTCCCTGATTGACCTGCTCCGGCTGCTCCTTGGCTTACCTGACCTCTTGCTGTCTCTGCTCACCCTCCTTTCTGGGCCCTACTCGTTGGGGTTCTGCACTTTCCACTTCTTCCTTTCTCTTTCTCTCTTCCCTCAAAAACTAGAAATGTGAATGAGGATTATTATAAAAGGGGGTCTGTGGAAGAATGATCAGCGTCTGTGATGGGAGTGTCAGGGTTGGTGTGCTGAGGTGTTAGAGAGGGACCATGTGTCACTTGTGCTTTGCTCTTGTCCCATGTGTTTTCCACTTTGCATATGAGCCATGAACTGTGCATAGTGCTGGGGTGGAGGGGAGTGCTGGGCGTGTGATCATGCCTGGCTAATAAGGCTTTAGTGTATTTATTTATTTATTTATTTATTTTATTTGCTTTTCATTCATCCCATTAATCATTTCCCCATAACTCAATGGCCTAAAACTGGCCTGACTTGAGGGAACGATGTGTCTGTATTTCATGTGGCTGTAGATCCCAAGATGACTGGGGTAGGAGGTCTTGCTAGAATGGGAAGGGTCATCGAAAGGGCCTTGACATCAGTTCCTTTGTGTGTACTCACTGAAGCCTGCGTTGGTCCAGAGCGGAGGCTGTGTGCCTGGGGGAGTTTTCCTCTCTACATCTCTCCCCAACCCTAGGTTCCCTGTTCTTCCTCCAGCTGCACCAGAGCAACCTCTCACTCCCCATGCCACGTTCCACGGTTGCCAGCACCTCTGTGGCACTGAAATGAGCACCACCATTAAAGTCTGAATCAGTGTACTGTTGTGTCTGAGGAGTCTTACTCTAGTCCATATGAGGGGAGAGAAGATGGAGCACCTGGAAGCTGGTGAAACTGGACAGCAGAACTGGGGAGGGCACAAAAAGAGGAAGACAGACAACAAATATGGCCAAGATGATGGCACTGCCTACCCCATTCTGGCTAGGTGGGGTGCATGTGGCCCCTACTTTCTTAGCAGCAGGCTTGGCTCCCAGACCCGGGTGAATTAAGGGGTTCAAGAGCCCCTAAAAGCATAAAATATTGTGTGTGTATGTGTATTTTGGGGGAAAGGGGGTCTAAGGTGTTTTCATATCCAAAGGGCTTGTGGACTGGAGCAGCTCCTGTACTGGACCTCTGCCAACAAAAGCCTGGCTGGTTCTCGAATGGAACAGGACTTCCTGGCCATTACTCACTGCAAGATGGGGAAATGGGAAGGAAGAATGGTTCTGGGGGTAGTATAGAGAAGGACCTGAGGAAACAGAGTCCTCCAATAAACTGAAAATTCAGGGACGAAAGTGCTTAACAGACCCCTGGCTGGGTCAGACTAATAGTAGGGTTCCAATATGTGGCTAGAGACATATGACTCCTTAGCTATAACTCGTTAACTCTTATGGGGCCTCAGCGTTGAGATGCTCATTCTAGGTACCACCGAGGGGGACAGATCCCTTCCTCGTGGCTTGGATGCAACCTTGCGTCCCACAGATAGGGTCTGCACATGGGAGATCTAACCACTAGAGGGAGTTAGAGTTCTGCAGGACGCCATACTGGAGGCCAAGTGGGAGGAACTTCAAGCTGTCCCCTGTGGGCCTCCCACTCTGCTTCTGCTAAGGTCCGGTCCTGGCTCCCTCTGCCATCCTGCTCAGCTCCAGGGCTAAAATAGGATTCTAGTTTTGTATAGGCATGGCCCATTTCTTTTCTTGCCCTCCTTCCTGGGTCCCTGACACCTCAGCCATTTTCAATTCAAAGAGCTTCATGCCCCCTTTCCATTTCTGTGCCTTTTAATTTCAGTGTGGGCATCTCATCTTTCCCTTTTCTCCTGTCTCCTGGCGACCCTTTATGCCTCCCTTGGGGTTTCCTGTACTTTTCTCTGTGCCTCTCAGTTTTCTCTGGGGTCCCTGATACCTATCTTACCTTAGTAACTCCCAGACTGACCAGGACTATTCTAGTTTGAGCCTAGTTCCTAGCCTCTGTCCTTTCTTTCATCCCTCCTCACCAGGTCGCCTTCTCTGACAGTCTGGCCCCCCCATCCCCAAAGTACTGGGGTTGGATTGGGTTACAGCTAGCTCTGCCTGGGCCTTCCAGGCCCTTCTCTCCACTTTCCCTTTGTGCCGTTGCCTGGAGACCAATGGGTTGTGGGGGGCTGAGCCAGAGAGGGAGCTGGGGTGAGGGATGGCGGGGGCTGTGCGCGGGCGCGCGCGCGCGCGCTCGTGTGTGTGTGTGTGTGTGTGTGTGTGTGTGTGTGTGTGTGTGTGAGAGAGAGAGAGAGAGAGAGATGTCCCCTGCAGCTGGACTATAAGCCTCAGGTAGGGGAGGAATGGGAGAGGGTAGACACTGGTTTCTTTTGTGACTCTCACCATCCCCTATACCCACATATGCCTAAATTTTTCTTTTAGTCTCCATTGTAGCCCGTTCCTTAGTGATTAAAAAACACGGGAGAAGAGCTCAGCCTGGAAGGGATTTGGAAAGGGCTTGAGCCAAGGCCCAGTGGGAGTCTGAACTGAGTGGTGCAGAAAGAGAGGAAATGCAATGGGGAGAGAGGGCGAGGGGGAAAGGGGGAGCCCTGGAACAAAGCTGGGGGTGGGGAGGAGCAGGAGCTACCCTAGAACAAGAGGGAGTGGGGCGCACCGGGAGACAGGGAGCTGGCCTGGTCTCAGGGAGGCCCTGGGAGGGACTGGGAAGGTGTGCATGGAGTGGTGAGTGCCAACCAATTCAAGGGACTTCAGAGTGATGACTCATTCCCAGGCCAAGGAAGTGTTCCTGTTCCTGCGCCCAGTTCCCCAGTGCTCTGGAATCTTGCTTAGAGCTTTTGAGTATTCCCAGAACTTTGTTGAATCTGGCCCAAGGAATTGTGAGACAAAATCTACTGAGCTGCTCCAGAGCCAACCTCCTTCCTTCCCTGAAGGCAGGTGGGATCTTGCCAGTTCAGGGACCACCCTTAGCCTCCAGCAAGACTGGTCCCACAAGTACCCGGCCCCCACCCCAAATATGGAGCGCTACTGAGGGCTCCCAATCCACACTCCAGCTCCAGCTCTTCCGGTTTGCCAGCCTGCCTCCCTCCCATTCTCTGGCCTTCCCAATTTCTGCTGCCAAAAATCACCCTGTGTCCTTTGTCCTGGGAGATGTTGCTGCTTGGTGGAGGGCCAGGAGGGAGCCCAGGAGAAGGAACTGGTGGTGGGCTAGCCGAGGTGCTGGCTTCATGGCCGGCGGCAGACTGACTGCCAGAGGCTACCTGGAGAGCAGGGGAGGGAGAGGGAAGGGTTGGGAGGAGCCTGCAGTCTGTGGTGGGGACTATCTATACCTTAGAACAGGTGGGATTGAGGAACAAGGATACCTAGGGATTTGGGTCCACATTAAGCCCAATCTTCACCCGACTGCTTCCCTGTGACCCAGGGGATCTTCAGTGATGACTTTCAACAGATTTGAGAAGGAAAATGGAGATGCCACTAGATGGAAGGCCTGAGGATGGTGTCTCACTCCTCCAAGCTGTATCCCTTACCTATCTACCCATGGGCTTGCCAGCAACCCCCCCACCCCACCAAATCTGTCATTTTCTTTAACTGCCCTCCTTTCCCATCTCCATTTTCTTTTTCTTTGTTTTTCTTTTTTTTTTTTTGAGACGGAGTCTCGCTCTGTCGCCCAGGCTGGACTGCAGTGGTGCGATCTCTGCTCGCTGAAACCTTTGCCTCCTAGGTTCAAGGATTCTCCTGCCTCAGCCTCCCGAGTAGCTGGGATTACAGGCATGCGCCACCACACCCGGCTAATTTTTGTATTTTTAGTAGAGACGGGATTTCGCCATGTTGGCCAGGCTAGTCTTGAACTCCTGACAAGTGACCCGCCCGCCTCAGCCTCCCAAAGTGCTGAGATTACAGGCGTGAGCCCCCGCGCCGGCCCCATCTCCGTTTTATTTTCCCATCCATGATCTTTCCTCTTCCATACTGCCGCCAAAGGCCTTGTTCAGCTTACATTTCCTTCCAATCTTCTTATCCCCTCTTCCCCGTTCTGCTTGCCCAAGTAAATCCTCCTGGGCTCCACTGGGAGCCCCCACCCCCAGGATCCAGCCAGCCCCGTGTCTCCCACCCTCCTTTCCCATCCAGAGCCCTCCTTTCTCACCCAGAACCCATTTTCTCTAGAATTGGCACCTGGGTCCACCTCCTTCATCCCTTCTTAAGGTTCTTCACGTTCCCTCCTCTCTCCTCACTGACGTTTCCTCTGGACTTCTCTCTCCAGCTCTCCTTCACCCCCCCCACCCCCAATTATTATATTTCTGACTCTTTTCCCAACACGAATCACCCCCAAAAGCTTTACTGTCTTCCAGAAGCCCCATCTTCTTATATATGTCATCATTTCAATTTTTCTCCCTCCTTATGACCCCAAACTTCCATCCCATTCTCTCTGATAATAGACCCCAAACCCATCTGGCTCCATCTCTGCCACAGACCCCTCACCCCAAGCTTCTCTCACTTCTCACCAGGCACCCACAAAGCCCCCAGGCAGCTCCATCTTTCCAATCCAATCCCATTATCCCAATCTCTACCCCAGGATCCCCCAAACTCCTCCCACTTCACCTCTGCCACAGACCCGGTGGCCCCCAAACTTCAGCCTCCCCTCATCTGCCCTCACCACCCACAGCCCCTCCTACCTAGCCCTCTCCCGCGCCGGGCCCGCGGACTCCCCACATTCCGCCACCGCGAGCCCTCCCCGCGCCCCGGCCCCCTCGGCTTCGGCCTCGGCCAACTCGCGCGGCGCCTCCCCCTCTCCGGCTCCCCCTCTCTCCCCCCTCGCGGCTTGCCTCGCGCTCCCTCCCTCGCGTCTCCCTCCTGGCCCCTCTCTCCTCCGTTCCTCCGCGCTCCCTCCTTCTCCCTCTTCCTCCCTTCTCCCATCCCCCTCTCCCAGGCTCCCTCCCTTCGCCGTCCGCTTTCCTGTGCGAGTCGCTGGACGCACCGCCCAGCCCGTCCGCAGCCCCGTGCCGGGTCGG